CAAGATCGGCACTATCTGATATTGTGTGTCCTCATGCCCCTGAATATCCATATGCAGGGGCACATTCAAAAGTCCTGAGCCCTAGGCGAAATCCTGTCAGCAGTGGCTTCACCACACCGCCATGTACAAGAACCGAAAAATGCTAATTGCAACAATTTGGTATCTGGTAGCTTTCGAGAAAGGAAATCTTCTCGCTAGCATCCTGCCGCGAGTATTCTCCCTGAGGGCTTCGAAAAGGCCACTTGCAGTGGGTGTAGCTGAGTCCACGACCAGGGAAGCGGAGGACTACTGGGTGATGGCCTCCATGGAACGAGGCACGAGGCCATGCTTCATCAGCGATACTATTTTCCATGACTGCGCACTTACGTGCACACATGACTGCCAGCATAAGGCAGGTGGCATGCATACTCGCTCTGGCCGGGCACTCTGAGCTGCTTGCTGCCGTTGCGCTTGCGACACAGAGCTGGCCTCTCAAGCCATCACTCTGTCAAGTGCTTAGGAAGTCTCAGGTACTTCAGCCTCAGCCCTTGCTTGCCTATGATCAAGGCATCTGAAGTCAGGGGGGCTTGTGAGCTCCCACAACCGCTGCCGGATTATCTTCTTGCCCATTTAAGGGCGAAGTGTTTCAGCCTTGGGCTTTATGTTTATGATGAAGTGCGTGAAGCGTTGACCATGTACAGTTGAAGCCTGATCCTCTCTCCGAGCGCCAAAACATAAGTAATTTTGTTTCTTGCGCGTCTACCAGCTGAAAGTCCTCGGGGTATCCGAAACGTTGTGAAACTATGTCTTCTTGATCTGCCCCGCCAAGATGTGAAAAAAGCTCTGATCATTCTTCGTTGAAAAGCCAATCTTAACTCCGAGCATCCCACTTAGTAAGCCCTATAACTTCCCTATATAATCCCCTATATAAACCCCCTTTAGGAGCCTAGACTGTAGCTCAAATTTGACCTATACTTGCAAGCTCTGCAGCAGAACTGTGGGTGCCTTCGGGCTGTCTTGGGAGGTCTGTCGGCATGGGCACTCCAAATGCCAGTTTCAGAAAACGATAATCTCTACATGGGCAGGCCAGTTTGCACAATCATCACTGATTCTTGCCTTCAAGTGAGTAGTGTTTTTTTGGTGGTTGAACCTAGTAAGATAATATTCTTATATAAAATACTATACCCCAAAAGGAGGATATAATCTTACTCTAATTTGGGTACCATAGTATCCCTAAAGCAAATACTACTCAAGTGGTGTCAGGCCTTATCCACAGTCACTTCTGCTGCCGGGCCGGGTTCCAAGGCCGCTGCAGGCCTGCGGTATGGCTTTGCGAGGCCGCAGAAAAGGGTGGTTGTCAAAATTATGGTCCCTTTTTGGATCCCTATTATAATACTTAGGGTACCCAAAAATAGGGACCATAATTTTGACAACCACCCAAAAGGCCGATGGGGCTTCGTGGGGATCCAGAAGCTGTGTAAAGCTGAGAAAGGAGCCTACTGCTTCTGCCAGGCCTTATCAGGCCAGTCAACCCTAAACCCTGTGCAAGGTTCTACTGTCAATGAGCTCTAGGGTGTTCGTATGGACTTAGGCTCCGGATGTGTCCTGGTCAACCCCAATATTCATCATAAACTCGTAGCAAAATTAGGACCGAAAATTGTTCCTCTGCCAACAGTAGCAGAAAGAAACGGCCTGACAACAACAGACATTGCTATCCAGCGAAAACATTCCAGTAGCACCAACCTTTGTACAAGGTTGGTATAAATCATAATGGCAGAGCCCTCAAAGGGAACAAGCTCAATGACCTAGTAACGTCAGCCTCCTTAAGCTTGACTTCCCAAGTTGAATCGAAGAGAAGGCAGAATTAGTAGGCAGTATTCCAGGCAGTGGCTGAAACAGCTAGCAGTAGTAGTATTAGTAGTAGCAGCAGCAGCAGCAGTAGTAGTAGTAGCAGCAGGAGTAGTAGTAGTAGTAGTAGTAGTAGTAGTAGTAGTAGCGGCGGCAGCAGCAGCAGCTGCAGTAGTAGAAGTAGTCGTAGTAGCAGCAGCAGCAGCAGCCGCAGCAGCAGTAGTAGCAGCCGTCGTCGTTGCAGCAGCAGCAGTAGAAGCAGCAGCAGCAGCGCTTCTTCCTATCTTCGGTAATGTCGGCACCATGGAGGCATGGAGGGGTCTCTCATGGTATGCACGAGGGCACCTACCAGTATCCACATATCAGTTAGATATGGTAGCTTCCAAAAAAGAAGGAGGATCCCGCTATAGACCCAAAAATACTATAATCCTGATTATAGGGATCCCCAAACAGGGTACCCCTAATTTTGGGAAACCCAAACCCTAAATAGTAGTTTCCATTTTCTGTTCCACCATCTCTATATAACCTCTATATGACCCAACCCTAAACCAAATAAACTCATAAGTATTAGACCTTGTCCGAATCCTCATGCCTGGGCGTCCTCGGAGCCGATGGTGCCGCTGGCGGAGGCGGCAGGGCCGGTGCCACCCTGTGAGGTTCGACCGGGAACCCGCCAGTTAATGGCCAGGATGGTATGCTAGCTTTCTAGAAACACTAGCGCCAAGGGTGAAGAGATCGCAACGCAGGCGTGATGTCAACAAACTAGGTCACTGGTAGGTGCGTTGGCGGACGAAATTGGCAACCAAAGCCCAGTCTTGCCCTGCGCTTCAGTATGCATTTGGGGCGGCCATGTTTGCTAAAGAGGCCGCTAAACACACTCAGCTCCTTTTCCCGCGGTTTCGTTTAGTGATGTGTTTGGTGCCGGGCTCACGAGAGAGGCTCAGGAAACTTGTGAGTCCGCATAGCGGATCAGCTCGCGGCTGGCCCCAGCCAGCCTTTTAAGAATACCAACGATCTTTAAATAGACCGCTTGAAACGTGTCCTGCATTCTTTCTGAAGAGCAGCCGACGTCTAGCTGGTCGACTTTGCTTAGCTCAGGCTCTGGCCACTGAGATGTGGAGGCGGCAGAAGCCTGCTGTTGACAGAAGGGGAAATCACACGCGCTAGCGCAAGACCATGAATGGGTCGCGAAGAAAGATTTCTCACACAGACCCCTACTTCAACCTCCTTTACCCTTTATTAGGGTCCCTTATGGAGTGCGAGCTCGGCCTTCCAAGGTGGATCTGGTGTAGTCCATACGCCCCCGGTCACCTCCGCGATACGGCGAAATGATGATCCCCTTCTTGGGGCACCCTGTGCACTAGTAGCCGTACAGTGGACGAAAAAGGAAATATACTACACCGTTGAATACCTTCCATACGGGGGCTTTCGGAAGTGAGGGGTCCGTTTTCAGAGTTGTGAAAAATCATAGCTTTCTTGCAAAAATGGTAAGAATGCCCCTCTGTGTTTGAACTACCGGTATGCTGCGACTTCCGCAGCTGATAACATTAACATTGCCTTGAAATCTGGGTTTCGGCAGTAGGGGCATCCGTACGAATAATGAAAATCTGCATGGCCACATTGTTCAACAAGACCCTACGGAACAATAAAACATCTCATGCCAAAGCAACAATAACAGACCCATCATCTAGGGCGGAGGCAGCAAACATAATACTGACCATAACAGCACAGACAACACTGAGGCAACTCCTGGTTGCGGTACGCGTCCTGGACCCGAGGTCCCTTTAAAGGGGTATACCCTAGGTCCCTTTAAAAGGCTGGGGTTTAAGGTTTAGGGTTTGGGGTTGCGACAGTCTCTTTAGGGCAGCTGCGGCGTCCAGACCTGCATGTGGACCCTGCATCATCGGCCTGTTGACAATCTCGGTTCTTCATGGGAGTTTCCCAATTTAGACTATAGCGCATGTGAACTCGCCTTAAAGAATCCGAACAGAACAAGTGCCAACCCCAAGTCAAGCAGGTCTAATCCTACCAATGTTGATGGTTGCGCCGTGTACGCTCTGAAAGGGGGTTAGTTACGTAGGGGATTATATGGGGACCCGGACTAATTACCATGGGGGTTCTCTTAAGCGGGATACTACAGTAGGAGTTTAGACTGTGGCTCATGTTGCGCCATCTCACCCAAACCCACAAAAGCAGCAACTGCCCAACCTAGTCAGCCAAAAGAAGCACAAGACCCAGCATGTGGGTTCAGCCCATGCATGGTCATCGTCAACTTCACCCTAAGCCTATATAACCCCATTATAATAGTTACCATGTTCTTTTCCATTCTTTCATGTCAAAGCTCTGTAGAGCACAGGTGAACACAACCAGGGCTCGGACTCAACGCTGAGACCAGCCGGTGGTGTCAGCCCACGCCTGAAATATTGCACCAGCACAACATGATGCGAAATGCGACTTTCGCACTTCTTTTCGCATCAGCTTTTGCTTTCTTGGGCAGCTTCAGAGCCCAACGATTGGGAACTTTTTGATAAAGGCACATCTTCTGCTGCTTTCAACCCGCTCCTGCGTGTGCCTGGCGCATTTAGACAGTAACTTGAAAATTGAGGCATTAGCCCCTGCCGCGCAGTATCCATTGCGCTTGTCCTGCAGCGGGGTGGAGGAAACTTTCTGAAGGTCATGTATACGACTGCTTGACATGGGGCCAGTATGCAGCATCATGCCGCACCCCGCGCCTATTCGAGGTAGGCCTAGTGACTAGTACGATACACGAGCGTTTTCCATCAGAGAACGTAAGGGGGGAATAATGTATAGCCTGGTAGCATATTCCTACCTGGCGCCCGGTGGTGCGCATGTCTTTACCAACACTCAAACCCCAGCAGCAGATTCCTGGCTTGGCAGTTTTTATATCAGTTCTGGTCTCAGATTCTCCACTGCCATCGAGTGGAAGTGGCATGCACAAGTCAGCGTGAGCAACGTCAGTACAGTTTGGCAGTCTGTAGCCAAGGTGACAAGTTGCACTTTCATCATACAAGTCTCTCTGCGCAGGGGCAAACATCAGAACACACAAGGTTGAAGGATTTAAGCATTTCGTGTACGGCTTATCTACCCGGGAATCAGGATGGAAACTGTGGCGACTTGCATCTGTACACGGCTATATCTGCAAGGGAGGAAGGTTACCTCACCATGACCACAGACTCCAAAAGCTGCTGTATCTTCAAGTCATTCTTGGAGATGCGGGATCTGCTGTTGCGTATTTTTGCCTTCTGCTCTGCAATCTTGTCATCTAGTTCTGCGATCTTCTGGTAAAGCGGCTGCAACAAGTCCTCTGTCATCTTCAGCTGTTGGCCATAGGCTTCACTCGACTCACGGTATTCCTGCTTCCAATGGTCCAGCTCCTTGCCCATGTTGGCAATGTCCTGGTGTACCAGATCGATGGATTTGCCAAGGGGGTTGGCTGCCTGGCACAGGCTTTGTATGGCCTCCCCTAGTTTGATTGGATCCACTTCCACAATGGCGCTGCCGGTGTCCTTTTTCCGGCGGAGTTTCATCTTGATGCCTTTGGAGCCATCATCAAACTCCTCTCGAGTTTCCTCTTCCTCCTTCTTAAGTCTCTCTCGCTCCTCCTCTTTGCGCTTCTCGGCCAGGAGATCACTAACGAGGGCGCCATGTTGGCCTCCATCATCCGCCGGAGGCGGTGGGGGAGGTGGAGCACCAGGTGGAGGACCACCAGCTTCGAACATGTCTTCTTCATCCTCTCCGCCGGCACCCTCAGCAATCACTACAGGTGCTGGCACGTTCGTAGGAGCCGTTGACTGCTCAGTGGTGGTGACCTTGGACGTAACCTTTGGAGGCTTTCTGCCGGCTGTGCGCGGGCGGCCATTGTCTGCGGCCCTTTGTTGAGCAAGCATCTCCTGAGCTCGCTGAGCTATCTCATCAGGCCCCGAAGCAGGACCCTCTGAGAGGGCACCAGGGGGAGGTGGAGCCTCTTGAAAGCCATCCTCCGCCATAGCTGCTGGCGCCATGGCCGCCTGGGCCTCTTCGGCAGCCCGACGCTCGTCCTCCCGCGCAGCTTCTGCAGCGGCTTCGTCTTGACGGCGCTGCTCTTCCTCCTTGCAGGTCTTTAAAGGAAATAGGCAGCCGCTATCCATGAATTAAGCTAGATTGGAATTATACAAATGAATCTTCTGGCCTGGTTTCATCACACTGGCACACCCACAACGAACCCTTGCGGTCCTGCAGTCGCCGTTTTTCTTCCTCCTTGCGCCGCCTGCGCTCTTCCTCCTTTCGTCGCTTCTCCTCCTTCTTCCTCTCCTCTTCGGCATCATCTTGCGGAGGAGCTGGTGGCTCTGGTGGCGGCGGCTCCGCAGCCGCGGCCGCGGCCTCAGCCTCCTTGCGCTTCCTCTCCTCTTCTCTTTTCTTCTTCTCAGCACGCCTCTTGCGCTCCTCTTCCTTCTTGGCCTCATCATCTGCTGAGGGTGCAGGAGGAGCCTCCTCGGCTGCGGCAGCCTCTGCAGGCGGAGGGGGAGGCGCACCTTCCTCTTTCGGCTTCTTCTTCTTTTCCTTGGCGGCGCCCACCAGCTCACCGCCCAGCACACGCTGTACGGCTGAGTCGGACTTCTCACCAACGCAGGTGGTGGCAGCTTGGTGGAGCTTTACCAGCCAGGCATTGGTCTTTTCTGGCTCAAGCCCAGCCACGATCTTGCTGGCCTTGGCTGCATAGCAGCAAAGAAACATGACTAATCTGCGCTGCTACGGCCCCAGCACTGCATGGACCACTGCTTTGCTGCATTTGCTCTGACTTTAGCCAGCAGGACTCTTCAATGCGAAATGCAGGACAAGAAGCGGAGACGTCGACTGTCTCGCCGAGGGCAAAGCATGTCGCACTGATGGCCTTATTGAGGAAATCAAGCTTGGCGCCCTTTTCTTTGAGCTGTTCTGCATCGCTTTCCTCCGTATTATACAACCCTTGTGCAAAGCCGGTGGTCCGCGTGACCTCCATGACAAGGTCATGCAGAAACCTGCGGCAGTTGCAGTGCAGCGAAAGGTCAGGGCAGGCATGACAAACTTGTAGACTGACTTCAATTCTGGACTGAGGGGTTGATACCTAGCTACGCAATTAGCATTTCCAAGGCGTCTCCACTGAAATTCGCTCCTGAACGGTGGCTTCTTCAAGTACTTGTCTGCCATCTTTGGCTTGGTGATCAGCGTGCCGATGGTCTGCTGAGTGGCGACCACATAATCTTCTGACATGGTGCCCAAGCGTTCCTCCTGCAGGAAAGCTGATTTTCTTCTGGGAAGCCGATGCTCAAGAATTCTGCATTACCTATCATACCCTGTCCTGGCGCTGGGCTGCCCAGCTTCCACTTGACCCGGGATGTCACAGCAAGTATATCTACATGTCCTACTTGGTTTGAGCCGACTGCCGGCGGCCTCTTGCAACTGCATACGGCATGACTTGCCCTTGCTGAAAGAAAGCAATGCTGCCAGATCACCTTACCGCCCGACAAGTGCAAATGCAGACACAAACGTTGCTGAAGCTCCGAGCTCGCATCAAACAGTGAATGTGTTTGTGCGTTGTCCTTGCCAATGGCTCCGCAAAAACAGCCTGCCCATAGACAGCACAAGTCAAACCGTCGGCAGCGGACACGTACGTGCCATGGGCCTCAGCTGTCCGGTTCGCCGGACTCCGAGGTGAATTGGGAGAGTCTTGGCTGCCTTTCCTCTCTTCCCTGAAGCGTCCTTCCAAGGCCTGGCCCGCAACAGCAGCAACCGGGTTAAGTCACTAGACCGTTTGCCTCCAAGCGCTTGATCATATCTGGGTCGGGGTGGTGCAGCCTCCACTGCAGTCAGAGAAACAAAAAAGAGCTTGCCAGGGAGGGCTGCTACAGAAATGCCAGCTAAGTCGCGCGTCAGCCGGATGCTGGTTTGCTAGCATGTGCCTGGCGCATGAGCTTGGCCAGCTCAGTGGATGTTGTGCATCAAGCTGGTTATGCTATATGATAATATACTATATTGTACTACAGTATACTATATCAGATTATGTTGTACTATATTGTACTTTCTCATATTGTACATCTTACATTGTACTAGATTGTACTATATTATAGAGCCAGAAGCAGGCCAAGGAAGTGACTTTGGATGACTGGAATTGCCGGCTCGGCTCGCCCAGGCCATCGGGCTGCACTGGCCTTTTCGCATCCAAAATAATAGGGGGTTTTGGTAACCCCGACCCCCAAATAAGGGGGAATATGGATATAGGGGATTGTATTTGTATAAATATATATATATAGAGATATATATTATAAAAGGGTTTTATAGGGATATATGCCGCTTGCATGGCCATGCAGCATCGCAAGGTGGAAATCCGGGGCCGACTAAAGCATCCCGTGAAGGAGACAGCTATCCTTATGTGTGCTACAGTCAATATTTCCTACCCAATTTCATGGACATCGGTTCCTTATTAGTGACTATATTAGAGACTGTACTAAACTACAACAGGGACCTCTATGTCCACTGTTAAGGCCCCTTTAATAGGGCTAATATTGGATTAGCGGTACCTTTTGAGTCCCCATAAAAAGGATTACAGTATATTGGGGTCCCCATATTGGGATCGCCCTATTTTGGGAAACTACCATTTTGGTAACCCCAAGCCCCAAAGTTAGGACCCTATAACCATCATGTGACAGTCCTCGGGTCCTAATTTGGGGGCTTGGGGTTACCAAAATCCCTTTATTAGAAAATACATCCAAACTTGCGCAGAATCCTCCCCGCACTCGCAAAGACGCTCTCTTCCCTGGGGATGATCCCAGAATATCCCAAACTTCACGTGTCACTCGGTGTGGTTTTACTACCTCTCATCCACAATCATCATCCCAGGACCTTAAACCCTAAACCCTGTAAAGGCCAAGGCCAGACGGGTGCTGCGCCGCGCCATGTGGTGCCACTGATGGCTGGGGGGCAAACTGCCTCGTGTTGTTTGAATTTGCTACTCCGAAGCCCAGGATCATCAAACTGCTTTTCTGGTTGTGAATCTACAGCCTACGAAGCATTCCCCTCAGCCTGCGGCATCCAGGGTGCATCCCAGACATGCTGGGGAGGCGGTGGTGGTGCATGCTGCCGCGACTGCTGCGGTGGTTGTTGCGCTGGCTGCGGCGGGTGCTGCTGTGGGTGCTGCTGCGGGTGCTGATGTGGGAGCTGCTGCGGCTGTGGCAGCTGCGGGGGTTGACTGTGGGAGTCGCGGGGCTGGTGCACGGGATGCGCCCGCTGGCTTCGGCACTGGCTTCTGCTGGTTCTCTCATGGTCGGGCTGGTAGCTGTGTAAAATTTGACATTGGTTGTTGCGGTGAGCTGCGTTTTGCACTGGCTCACGCAGATGCGAGGGACTGACTTCGGCCCCTCTGTGAGGGGTGTGCTGGTCGTGGTTGCTGTAGTGGCTATGGTGGCGGTGATGATTAAGATGTCTGTGATGGCTCTGATGGCTCTGATGCCCGAGGTGCGAGCTTGCCTCACAGATGTGTTGGCTGCAAAGAGTTCAGGAACGATCAATGCTTTGCCAGCTTGCCTGGCTCTTTTTCATGGCTACATCTATACCAGCTGAAGTGGAAACGGCAAGCTGAAGCAGTTGAAGACCAAACATCCGCAAATAAGCCATAGTCTAAACTCCTGGTATCCCCCTTAGTAAGTAACCCCTATAGTAGTCCCCTATACAATCTCTCATATAACTAACCCCCTTTGATCGAATAAGAGCCTGTCCTTGGCAGCACCAGGGGCCGCCTCCTCAACCGACTTGCAGGCTGAATCAACCTGGCTGTTGGGCCAGAACCTTGGTCGCAGCAGCTGCCTGCCGTGCTACAACAAACTCTCGAACACTCAGGCTTAGGGTTTGGGGTTTTGGACTATTGAAGGCGCCTCTTTCGCTCCCATCCAGCAGTCGGAAAGGTTTTGGGATCTGGCATGTGTGAGTCTGTGGGCGGAGCTCTTGGAAATCAATACACGGTGTGACGCCGCATGAGACATCTAGAAGCGGGTCTGTACCAGGAGCTCAGGCAATAGCCCGTACTCACAGAAAATATCTAGAGTCCCCCTTATGTAGATAGAATATGGTTTTGGGGGATATTTTAGTAAGATCCCCATATACCCCATATTCTATCTACTTAAGGGGGACTATATCTACATCCGAGAGCACCTGAGGTTGTCTGGGATCCTGTAGAAGCAAAGTGTCGTGTCGCGTTTAGACATCACGCTACAGACTAAGCCATGTACCCCGCCCCACACCCCATATCCTAAATTTCCAGGTTCAATGTCTAATTCCTAAGGTCTAAACACCCCAACCCCTAATCCCACAAGCTCAAAGATCTAAGACGCCGACTCCGCTTGAGGCTCAGGAGGTGGCAAGCCTGATATCACAAATACAGGCAGTAGCCAGGATATGGGGGGGTGTCCCAAAATTCGAGGTCCCCTTTAACGTATTATATGGGTTATATACGGGGTCATAGAGGTGTATTTAAGGTTCAGGGTTTCACTAGGGGTACTTTTTTGGAGGCCCCCATAATAAGTATTGTAGTATTTTGAGGTCTATATAGAGCTTCCCCTTATTTTGGGAAACTACCGTATAGGTAAGCAGAGGAGCAGTAGTAGGGGGAGGAAGAGCAGCAGGATCCATCGTAATAGTTAACAGGCTCAAACCTTCAGAATGATAGGCGTGTGAGATAAACATGAAGATTGGGAGGGAGCAAAACAATGGTTCTGGACATGTTCTGCTGAGCAGTTCCTGTGATTGCAACGCTGCACAAGATATGGCCCCAGGTAAACATGGGAACCTGGGTAAAGCCTGCATGAGACCACCCTTAACCTTCAACCCTAAGCCCGAGGCTTGATGTATGCTACGAATCTGACCCATGGTCCCAAAACTGGACACCATACATATATATATATATGTATATATATGTGTGTACAGAATGTTCCTCAGGAACCCTTTTCCATCCAACAACATAGGCCCCGACTTGCTGCCCGCAACCGTGCGCTCGCATGTCCTTGCAAATCTCCTGTCCAGTGTCAGAGCAAAGTTTCCTGGGTTGCGGCTAAGGAACTTAGATTAAGTTAATGATAGGGACATATGCTAACCCATGTGGTTTCCTCATAACAGCAAATGAATCTAAGCTCCCTAAACCCTAAACCGCAACCCAGTTTGGGGTTTAGGGCGTATTCTTTCTGGAGCTTGCTTGCAGCTCCAGATTGCAGCTTTAACTCCAAAAGCCAAATCCGTTACTTTCCACCGCTGCAGCTGAAGCTTAGAACCCCAAATACCAGGTGAGTAGCGTTTTTGGTGGTTGAACCTAGTAAGATTATATTCCTTGTATAAAATACTATACCCAAAAGGAGGAGATAATCTTACTCTAT